CAACCACCTGACAAGGCAACATAGAGAAGAACTAAATCAACTAAAACAAAACAAAGAACTTTTAATAACTCGTCCAGATAAAGGAGCTGGCATAGTCCCCATGGGCAAGAAGGACTATATTGAGGAAATGAACAACATCTTGTCAGATAAAACAAAATTTTCGCAACCACCCAACGAAAGAAACAAAACAGAACAGATTGAAAAACAACTCATCGATGTCTGTAAAAGAATGCAAACCCAAAAGTTAATCACTCATGAAGTCTATGACCAGATCCGACCGACAGGATCAACAATACCCAGACCATATGGCTTACCAAAGATACATAAAGCCAACCTCCCACTTCGTCCAATTCTGGATATGTCAGGTTCCCCGTACCATTCAGTAGCGAAATGGCTCGCTGACATTTTAGAACCTGCACGAAAACGAATGTGCCACTATTCGCTTCGTGACACTTTCCAATTCGTCGATTACATTAAAGATATCAATGCAAAGAGCAAAACTATGCTCTCTGTCGACATTGAATCACTATTTACCAACGTTCCACTCACGGAAACTGTCTCTTACATTTGTCATTATATCGACGAAAATCAGCTGAACATCGGATTACCGACGACCTGTTTAAAAGAACTACTACTGAGATGTACACTCAATGTACAATTCACATTCAATGAGGTTATTTACAGGCAACAAGATGGGATCGCAATGGGATCTCCACTCGGCCTATTACTAGCAGGCTACTTCATGGCAAGCCTCGAGAACGGCCCACTCAAATCAACCATTGACAATTTCCAATTGTATGTTAGATATGTGGACGACATCTTCATCATCTGTGATGACGGTCACGATCTCAATCAATTACTGCAAATATTCAACAAATGCCATCCAGCCATAAAGTCCACTCTAGAAATTGAAAACGAATCTAAAATCCCTTTTCTTGATGTTGAGCTTACAAGGAGAGCTGACGGAATTTTAAGAAGGTCCATCCATAGGAAACCCACATGGAACGGCCAATTGACAAGCTTCTACAGCTGGGTACCAATCAGTCGGAAAAGAAACCTAATTAAATTCCTTGTCACTCGCGTCAGACGCATCTGCAGCTCTGACACCATGGAAGAAGAACTAAAATTCCTGAGTGAAATCTTCATACAAAATGGCTACCCACCAAGATTCGTAGACAAAAACATCAAACAAAAAATCCAAAAGCAAGAGACGCCATCCGTGCCTAAAAAGATACTTTATATGACCCTGGACTTCAAAGGAGACCTACTTAGTGATGTCCTTAGAAGGAGGATTTCCACCTTTTTAGGAAGAACTTTCCCTGCGGCAACATTAAGACTAGTGTTCTCCAGTCGCCCGCTGATCTGCAGAAGCCCAAAGGACAAGATTCCGCACATGACCACTTCTATGTGTATATATCAGTTCACTTGTTGCTGTGGAGCCAGGTACATCGGTCGTTCAACGCACATCCTGTCAAAAAGGGTCAAAGAACACCATCCAGTGTGGCTGCAGAAAGGAAGTAATGACCGTATAAGGAGTGCAATAATCGAACATCTCGTCAACACTGGTTATTCCATCTCAACAAACGCCTCCTTCAAAGTAATCTACAAAGTGAAGAACAACCTTCCAAAGACAGTACGATTTCGTCTTCTTTGCATCGCAGAGGCCCTAGCCATTCAGTTGATGGAACCAAACTATGCATACAAAAGAAAGTTATTCAACCACTTCTACTCTCATGGTAACAACTCCGTTGATTTGACTTAACTTTAGTTTGTTTGTTTGATTTGACCTTACTTCTGTTTGTATGCGTACTTTTTCTAACTTAAAAACCTTGTGTAATTGTGTATATTATCTTGTTTCCATGTACACCCTGAGCACAACTCGTTCATCAAACTATTCATGTTATTACGGAACTCTTACTTGACAATCACTTATGACAACTCATCACTTTTGTTACTACGCTCTGATATCAACATCGAATAAATCTGAACTTACTAATTTTATTCTCGTTTGACAAATGTAAGGTATATATATATATATATATATATATATATATATATATATATGTATACAAAATAACCATATGTATTTTCGATTGTACGGCTATGAAAATGAATTCGTCGAAAAGAGACTCTTCGCTGAACTACTTGTCTTTTGTCTAATAATGTTCAAATGGGGATTATTCATGAATATTTATAGAATCCAAATGGTATGGAAGTCAGGCATAGGTGCACCCACAGCATTATGTCTTCAAGTGGTATTTTTGGTTCTAAGTTTGAGTTCTTGGTCAGAAATGGGTTCGTTTCTGACTACCTCTCTAACGATATTTATTGGCATACGTGTGTATAAACTGATAATGTCAAAACTAACCATTTATTCTTGTTTGTCTAATTTTAAATTATCTAATCTGTGTTTTAGTTCATAGGAATTTGTTAGTCTAGATTTTGAGTGGCTTTTAAGGCAATTCAATACCATAGCTAAATATTTAGATAGTTCATATGTAGGAGAATTTCTGAAATCAACTATAGGCCTTATAGGGTATTCTGATTTATGAACTTTAACACCATACATCCTACTGGGGTTAATAGTTTTGGTCATTAAATTAAACCACTTAGACTCACCTAGAAACGGCTTCATTTGGCGTATAAGGTATAAGTATTCACCTCCAAATAGTTTGATTTGTCTAATAATACTGTTGCATTTCCTTTGTCAGACTTAGTGATTACCATGTCGTTGTTATCTTTAAGGCGTTTTATGGCTTCCATCCCTGGTTTTTTCAGGTTAGGTTTTTCTTGTTTTTATGTTATTGCATATTTTGCTTATACTTCATCAGCTGTTGTTTTGTCTATCCCACTTAGTGCTCTTTCTATTTTAGGCATGACATCCTCAGGTTTCAGCTTGTTGTCTACGGCTACATTGAAATTTAGTCCCTTATCTAATACACTTATTTTCGTTAGACTTCACATATAGGCATCATCAGTTATAGGTCTTATCTGTTCACTATGAGGATCCTAGGATAGATTTTTAAACTTATTCTAACCTATGCGTTTTTTAACGCCTTTTTATGTTATGGATGAATATCTCTATGGTACCTTTGGTGTTATGCTAAGTAAGTAATACTTAAAACTGGCGTTCAGCCGTGTTTTAACGCACACGGAACAGAAGTATTCAACAATTGTAAAGGAGTGTTTAGCGATTGTATGGGCGCTAGACAAATGGAGACCCTATTTATTTGGTCAACGCCTCCACGTAGAGACTGATCATAAGCCGTTGCAGTGTCTGAGAACCTCCAGAGACCCACGTGGGAAGTTGTCACAGTGGATCTTGCGCCTGCGAGAGTATGATTTCACGATCTCCCATGTTCCAGGAGAAGAGAACGTCTCACCGGATATGTTATCCAGAACAAAGGAGGTAAACTTACCTGAAATAGCATATGGTGTAAATGCCTTAGAGCAAGACCCAGCAAGACTTGTCCAGATTCAAAGATCAGATGACACCTTAAAAACTATCATACAAGTGGTAACTGACGAAAAAATGGTGAATCGACCCACAGCGAACCGTGAGCTAAATCTCCTACTCAGAGTGACAGGTTAAGCTTGAATACCTGCGTCAAGAGATGATACAGGAATGTCACCACCTAGCGCACACAGATGTTGCCCGAACGAACGATCTCCTGCGACAAATCATGTACTGGCCAGGTATGAGAGAAGACATCGAGAAGTACGTAACAGCGTGTACGCAATGTTAGCTGATGAAAGGTGATCGGTATATACAACCGTCACTGCAGTCGATCCCAGTGACAGCATTAGGAGACATGTGGTCCGTAGATGTAATGGGACCTTTTTCACAAACGTCCAATGGCAATCAATATCTTCTGATCATGACAGAATATCTGTCACCTCAAATACCAAAGCGTTATATCCTGAAGCCTGTGTAGAAATATTTTGTTTTTTTCCTATTAGACATCAAGGTTTAAGGTTTTTTCAAGTATTGGTAAATCCTCCATGCGGTTTAAGGTTTTATTTGAATGACTAATAGCGAAAATTTGTGGTAGGCAGCCTATTATTGATAGTAAGTGGAAATGTGCCTCATTTTCATGAGCACTCAACACCTTAACAGTGAGTAGTTACCGCGAACTCGATTCCATCTTACCAACTTTAGTTTAGTTAGCCTTAAACACAGTAAGTGTGGCTTATATCCTCTCATATGAAAGAATTCCCGGCCGATAACTGCTACCTTGTCGTGGTGGTCGGTCTTGAATACCGTAATGACCCAACATGCTAAACTGACTGGGCCTCTGTCCCTGCAGGTCCTACCATGTCACGAAGGTTGTTTGGATAGCGGTTAGACTAAAAGCAGTTACCATGGGGTACATGAACTCCAGTATCCAATCGGATCAAATGGCGTATGAACCCATATGGGTCACTGGAAACCATGGGAATGCAGCTCATGACGTTGCTCAGCTGCCTTGCGGATTAGACTGCAAGTCAAAGACTCGGGGGATGGTCCCTTAATAAAACCACCTGCTTCGGTTTGGGCGCCGGGGCAGTATCTCAGCCCTCACACAATGAATTAAATTGAATAAAGCAACAAACAATCAATGAAACTTATCACGTGTTGAAATTTCCTTCTTTCTTTCCTTCCCCATGATAGTTAACGAATACTGTTTGAACTTGTTTAAGAATGACTGTTTTCCTTCCAGATGAAGTCCTTTATTCGTTCTCTACTTATATTTTTTACTTTGAACCTATGTTGTTTTATTATTATTGTGTGGCGCATCCTTCTCGGTGCATGTTGTACCAAGTTTTTTCTTCGTTCAAATAAATAAATATAAAAGAATTCGATTTCAAGCAACTGATTTTGCACCACTTTGATAGAGAACGATAAGCAAATCGATATATTACCACTGTTAAGTATTGATTGTTGCACTTTTTTTCTTCTACCCAACTTTTGCTAACAGTAAATTTCACTTGATTTGAATGTTGGTGTTCATTCATGTGAAATGATGAATTGTCGACATTCCTTTAAAATTCGTTGTGCACACTGGTTATTAGCTCGAATCAGTTTATTCCAATCAATATGCTTATTGTTATGGTTAGGCGAACGTGCTTATCATGAAATAGAACCACCTATACACCCATGGGCAGTATACACATATGTAAGTTGATTGAATATTTTTTCTAATGGAATAAGGTAAGGTGTGTTTTTTTACTTTCATTTGAAGTATATTGTATTATTATTATGTATTTTAAAGCAATTAGTTCCCTTGATATAAGAATAAGACTTGTGCACTGTGGTAGAGTGTAATTCCATTATGGGTAAATTTTGTTTTGATAAAGTCTCACAGTGTTATACAGTAATGTTTACTGATGACGTTTCGAGCACAATTTATTGCTCATAATCATATCAAAGTGATTATGAGCAATAAATTGTGCTCGAAACGTCATCAGTAAACATTACTGTATAACACTGTGAGACTTTATCAAAACAAGATTTACCCATAATGTAATTAGTTCCCTTTATGAATTTGGCCAACACAATAAGAAGACGTAGTTTATCTGAAACGTGTAATGTATTGGCGTAACACATTTAGGACATTTTGATCACACACACGAGTACTTGTCATACACAGTTTTTATAGAAGGCATGAATAATTACAATACAGGTCAGACTGTGTACAGGTCAAGGTCACAAATAATGGGTATGTGGGTAAGAAAGATAAAGGGAGGAATAACAAGGCAAAGAAGGGGTTTGAAAATATTATGAAGTAAATTGGTCCTTGGTTCTTAATTAGGTTACCAAGGCAAGTTTAAGGTGATAACAATATTGAGGTAAGGCTTCTACTGCTAGCTAGGGAAACAGGAGAAATCAATCGACGAGGTTGTGAAGTTACGTCGACTGACTGAGATGGTTATGGCATGTGTTATGTATGCCTAGTCATCGCCTTCCTCGACGAGCAATGTTAGCGGATATAGGGTCAGGCTGGAAAAGAGCTAGCGGTGGTCAAACTAAAACTTGGCACCACCAACTTCGTTGTTGGATCTCTTGTTGAATACCTTGTCTGTGATCCTCCGTACTTTCGACTGAATTGTATACGACAGAGAAGAAGTTTTAAAAGTTATACTGTGCCTTCTTTCTCTTTCGCGAGACTAGGGGTAATAGGGGCAGTTGATAAGGGAGCGACATATTTTAAGTTACGCGTAAATGACCGCAAGTTGATGCGTTTAGTTAACACAGGGGCAGCAGTCTCACTCGTAGATAAGAGCTTATGTGAGAATATAAGGCCGTGTTCGTTGATAGTGCAGGCAGCAGAGGGCCATGCGTTAAGAGTGGCGGGAGTGTCAGACTGCAGGGTTAGTATTGGAGAGGATAACGTGACGTTTCCATTTCTGGTTGTACCCGAGTTGCGCCAAACGATCCTTGGGGCAGACGTTTTACGAGAAGTAGATCCAGTGATTAAAGTGAAGAAAAGGGTTGTGGTTACGAAGTATGGGTATTTCAGCATGCACGGGAATAGTGAGTTAGCACGGATTGTAGCGTCGAAAGTCCTAAGTGTAACAACGTCACCTAGCGAATACGACCATCTTTTCACTGAAGATGGAGATTCGTACGGTTACTGTGATAAGGTGAGGCACGAAATTCCATTGACAATTGAGATAGTGAGACTTCACAACTCGAAGAGTTCCGTGCCATTTAGAAAGCAAGGTTGGAAGACAGGTCGAAGAGATGTTGAAGGATGACATTATTGAAGAAGCCGATAGCCCATATAGTTCTCCAGTGCCATTAGTGAAGAAAACCGACGGGAAATACAGATTTTGTGTTGATTTCCGACAGAGCTAAGACCGTGTGTGATACCAACCGTAGCATAAACTTTAGACCGCTTACATAGCACGAAGCTGTTTACAGTCTTAGATCTGTCTGTCTGTCTCTGTCTGGATTCAACATAGAACTTGGCACCGAAGTGCAGCAGTTCGAGTTGCCACGTTCCAAATAGCACAGAGGTAGACAAGAAGATGAGTGAAGAGAATTAATAGAGTTTGACAAATATAAGAGTGAAACAGAATGGGTAATGGTAGAAAGGAATATGAAAGATTACAGAGATTGAATACATCTGCGCCATTGACAACGATTTTGAGCCATGTCACCTATTGTCTCCAGCCATTGATTCCTAGAGTCCCGAGGGCCCCAACCCGGGAGTCTGCATCTCCCTACCTGACTCAGTTTAACTGTCAAGGATTTCATGGATTGATGCCATGTTTTTGTTTGGCCACCACTGGCTCTTTTCCAACCTGAACCTATATCAGCTAACAATGCCCGTCGGGGGAGGCGGTGGTTAGGCATGCGCACCACGTGACCTAGCCATCTTAGTCTATGTAACTTTATAACCTCGTCGATTGATTTTCCCTCTTTGCCCAACACTCTACGCCTAACGTCAACATTACTTATCTTGTGAAACCACCTAACGTGAGACAGAGATCGCAGACATCTATGATCGAAAGCAGTCAACCTTTTCATGTCTTCAACGCGTATTGGCCATGTTTCAGAGCCATAGAGAAGGACGGAGCGAACTGATGAGCAGTACACACGTCCCTTGGTTGATAACCGGATGTCACGCCTACGCCAGAGATGGTGTAAGTCAGCGAAAGCAGCTCGAGCTTTTCGGATCCGTGCTGAGATTTCATCGCCAATCAGTCCGTTGGTGCTAATACAACTTCCCAAGTAGGTGAAGTGGTCAACATGTTCTATCACTTCACTCCCTATCACTAAGTTAGGGGTTGACGTGTCCAGTCCTGTAGCAGCATCTTACATTTTGCAGGGGCGAATCGCATGCCAAACATACGAAGATTGCTGCTCAAGGTGTTCAGAAGACTCTGCATTTTGTCAGCATCCTCCCCTAACAGGACTATGTCATCTGCATATTCTAAGTCCATAAGATTATTCCCTGGTAACAAGTCGATTCCTAAGTCACTACGTTCAGTTAAGGATACTTCCATTAGCATATCTATGATGAAGTTAAACAGAAATGGGGAAAGTGGACATCCCTGTCGGACACCACTGGTTGTTACCAATTCAGATGACAATTCCCCATAAGCCCTTACACGACTACGTGAGTTTGAATAGAGTGCCTTGATTAGTGCAATGTACTTTCTTGGCACTCCCTTCACAGTCAGACATTGCCATAGTACCTTTCGGTCCACGGAGTCGAAGGCCGCCTTCAAGTCAAGAAATATGACAATTGTTGGACGCCGAAAAGTGTGTCTATGTTCTAGAATCTGTCGAAGAGTGAAGATATGATCTATGCACCCTCTACCTGGTCTAAAGCCTGCTTGATTTTCCCTTGTCTGTTCCTCCCGAGTTCTGCTTAGTCTATGCATGATTACTGAGCCTAGGATTTTAGAGACTATGTTCGTTAGGCTGATCCCCCTATGATTATCACACGAGGACTTGTTTCCCTTCTTGAATATCGGTATAATAAGTGACTTACCCCAGTCTGATGGTACTGTCTCTGATTCCCAGACTTTGCCTAGTACCTCAGTTAATCTACAAACTAGTATGTCACCCCCATATTTAAACACCTCCGGAATAATTCCGTCGGGTCCTGCCGCTTTGCCTCGTTTCAAATTACTGATAGCTTTTGTAACCTCACCTACAGACGGCGGACCAGTGTCTATATCCCATTCGGGTACGTGGTGGATGGCGGGGAGGTTCAGTGTGGCTGTAGGCAAGTTAAATTGTTCCTCAAAGTGTTCTTTCCAGCGTTCAAGGCGTCTATCCTGAGAGCTAATTAAGGAGCCATTTTTCTCAGAAATAGTCTCACTTATGAATTGCCTTCTCCCGCCCGATTCTGTGATGAGTCTAAAGAGTTGCCTAGTGTTGCCTATCGCCAATGCTTTTTCCATCTCTTTCGCCTTTGTCACCCACCACTGTTCACGGTCCTTGCGGAGACTTTTAGTAAGTTTCCTTTTGTGCAGCTTTCGCTCCTCATTGAATTCGGAGCTCGCCGGAATAAGTCTTCTAGCATCTATCAGTTCGGATGAGGCAGTCGAAATCCAGTGGTTTTTACTCACCTTTGGATTTGTCTTATTCACAGCTTTTACAGCTGTATCTATAGCTGACTGAATATTCTTCCAGGCTTCTCCAGGGTGAGCACAGCTGTCGGATTCAGATATGCGTTTAGCTCAGAATGCGTCTTAGATCTGCAATCAGGGTACTGGCAACTGCTGATAAAACAAGGAGATAGAGATAAGATGGCATTCTTTATGGGACAGAAACAATATCGGTTGGATTGGCAGGTGCCCCGTTCACATTTAGACAATTAATGACGTTGCTGCTTGAGAATTTGAGGAACGTCGAAGTTTATGGCGATGATCTGATGACATACAGTACGCGCGAGAGTGACCACGTATAGTGTGTAGAGGCAGATTTAAGACGCATTGAAGAATTCGGTCTACACATCAACAAGGCAAAATCTCAGATTGATAGGAAGAAAGTTACACTTTTAGGACATAAGGTGGGAAACGGCGAAATGACACCGCTACCCGAAGAAATTTTAACAATCAAGTCCATTGAGTCTCCGAATTCGGAGAGGAAATTAAGAATGCTTTTGGGGAGAACAGAGTCCTATAGTCGGTTTGTGAAAGACTTCAACAAGATAGCTGCTCCACTGTATCAGCTATTAGGCGAGTCAAAGTTTGTCTAGTTAGAAGACTCGCAGAAGGTATTCGGCCGCATGAGACATCCTATGGATCACCAGAGAATGATGTTACAACTACCTGTGCCGGGAAAACCGTTCACAGTGTCTGTATGGATGCCAGCAACTACAGAATAGGCGCAGTATTCCGACAGGGTAATGGGGTTGTCGAATACGCAAGCCGTGTTTTAACGCACACTGAACAGAAGTGTTCAGTAACAGAGAAGAAATGTTTGGCGACTGTGTGGGCGTTAGGCAAATGGAGACCCTATTCACTTGATCAGCGCCTCCACGTAGAGACTGATTATAAGCCGTTGCAGTGTCTGAGAACCTCCAGAGACCCACATGGGAAGTTCTCACGGTGGATGCTGCACCTGCAGAAGTACGATATCTCATATTCCAGGGGAATAGAATGTGATACCAGACATTTTATCCAGAACAGAAGATCAGGTAGAGTTACCTGAAATAGCATATGGTGTAAATGCCCTAGATCAAGACCCAGAAAGAGTTGTCCGGAGTCAAAGGTCGCACTCCACTCTGCAAATTGCGATACAAGTGATAACTAACGTAATAAAGGCGAATAACTCCACAGTGAATCGCGAGTTAAATATCCTACTCAAATGGAAAGACCGGCTAAGATTGAACGCCTATGGAATGTTGACGTGGCGAGAGGATGACGGATGCTACTAAGCGGTGATACCCCAATGCCCACGCCGAGATCATATAAAAATGTCACCAATTAGCACACAAAAGTGTATCCTATAGAAGATTTGTAGCTCAGGTGGATGATTTTCATGTGATTGTGCTCTCTGAGCTGGATAGTTGATTTGCGAAGCTTTCATCACCCTACTAGGTGACATCTTCAGCGCATACTTCAATTTATTGAAGTGAGCTTTTAGATTTCCCCACGAGTTTATTAGTCATCTCTCCTGGCCAGCGACCTTGGATGTGATTGGTTGTTTTTGTGTGTTTTTACACCTTCTAGGTTACTTGTATTGGAACTGATAGTTTCTTTGACTTGAACTCTGACCCTTTGTGTGTGAAGTTTCTCTCTTATTGGTTGATAAATTTTGTTTATCTCGATGTGTCTATTGATTGATGATTCACTGGAATGCCAAGCAGCCGTCTAAAAATTATCTAGCATTCTTGTTATTCCCTCTGTCTAATATTTGAACGTTGTCCCAGTCGAATTGATGTCCATGGTTGTCTGTATGTAGTGATATGAGGGAGTGAATATCATGTCTTTTGACGGTTAGCTTATGTTCATGGATACGAAGACGAAGGGGACGTCCACATTCGCGAATGTAGTGTTTTTCGCAGTTGTTACAATTTATTTTGTAGGTGATGTTGGTTTTATCTTCTTTCGCTGTTGGGTCTTTTGGTTGACATAGAATTGAGTGAAGTGACTTTGTTGGTTTGTGTACGACGTCAATTCCTAGAGGTTTGAAGAGTCTTGTAGTGATTTCTGAGATATCCTTTATGTATGATAAGGCGATTTTCTTTGTGCTTTCCTTGGGGGATTTTCGTTTGATGTCTGTCTGTCTGGATTTATCATAGAACTTGGCACTGAAGTGCACCAGTTCGAGTTCCCACGTTCCAAATAGCACACAAAGGTAGACAAGAAGATGAGTGGAGAGAATTAATAGAGTTTCACAAGTATAAGAGTGAAACAGAATGGGTAATGGTATAAAGAAATATGAAAGATTACAGAGACTGAATACATGTGCGCTGGCCATTGACAACGATTTTGAGCCATGTCACCTATTGTCTCCAGCCATTGATTCTTAGAGTCAGTCCCGAGGGCCCCAACCCGGAAGTCTGCATCTCCCTCCCTACCTGACTCAGTTTAACTCTCAAGGATTTCATGGATTGATAAGGCCATGTTTTTGTTTGGCCACCACTTACTCTTTTCCAACCTGTACCTTTATCAGTCAGCTAGTAATGCCCGTCGGCGGGCGAGGCGATGGTTAGGCATGCGCACCACCTGACCTAGCCACCTCTATGCCATCTATGTAACTTTGGAGCCTCATCGATTGATTTTCCCTCTTTTCCCAACACTCTATGCTTAACATCAACATTACTTACCTTATTAAACCACCTAACGTGAGACAGAGATCGTAGACATCTATGATCAAAAACAGTCAACCTTTCCATGTCTTCAACTCATATTGACCATGTTTCAGAGCCACAGAGAAGGACAGAACGAACTGCTGAACAGTACACACGTCCCTTGGTTGATAGCCGGATGTCACGCCTACGCTAGAGATGGTGTAAGTCAGCGAAAGCAGCTCGAGCTTTTTGGATCCGTGCTGAGATTTCGTCGCCAATTAGTCCGTTGGTGCTGATTCAACTTCCCAAATAGGTGAAGTGGTCAACATGTTCTATCACTTCACTCCCTATCACTAAGCTAGGAGTTGACGTGGTCCAGTCCTGTAGCAGCATCTTACATTTTACAGGGGCGAGTCGCATGCCAAACATACGAAGATTGCTTGTCCTCTAGGTGTTCACAAGACTCTACATTTTGTCAGCATCCTCCCCTAACAGGACTATGTCATCTGCATATTCTAAGTCCATAAGACTATTCCCTGGTAACAGTTAGATTCCTAAGTCGTTACGTTCAGTTAAGGATACTTCGATTAGCATATCTATGATGAAGTTAAACAGAAATGGGGAAAGTGGACATCCCTGCCGGAAACCACTGGTTGTTTTCAATTCAGATGACAATTCCCCATAAGCCCTTACACGGTTACGTGAGTTTGAATAGAGTGTCTGGATTAGTGAAATGTACTTTCTTGGCACTCCCTTCACAGTCAAACATTGCCATAGTACCTTTCTATCTACGGAGTTGAAGGCCGCCTTCAAGTCAAGGAATATGGCAATTGTTGGACGCCGAAAAGTGTGTCTATGTTCTAGAATCTGTCGGAGAGTGAAGATATGATCTATGCATCCTCTACCTGGTCTAAGGCCTGCTTGATTTTCCCCCGTTTGTTCCTCCCGAGTCCTGCTTAGTCTGTGCATGATTACTAAGCCTAGGATTTTAGAAACTATGTTCGTTAGGCTGATCCCCCTATGATTATCACATGAGGACTTGTTCGCCTTCTTGAATATCGGTATAATAAGTGACTTACCCCAGTCTGATGGAACCGTCTCTGATTCCCAGACGTTGCCTAGTACCTTAGTTAATCTACATACTAGTATGTCACCCCCATATTTAAATACCCCCGGAATAATTCCGTCGGGTCCTGCCGCTTTGCCTCGTTTCAAATTACAGATAGCTTTTGTGACCTCACTTACAGACGGCGGACCAGTGTCTATGTCCCATTCGGGTGTGTCCTGGATGGCGGGGAGGTTCAGTGTGGCTGTAGGCAAGTTAAATTGTTCCTCAAAGTGTCCTTTCCAGCGTTCAAGGCGTCTATCCTGAGAGCTAATTAAGGGGCCATTTTTCTCAGAAATACTCTCACTTATGATTTGCCTTCTCCCACCCGTTTCCCTGATGAGTCTAAAGAGTTGCCTAGTGTTGCCTATCGCCTATGCTTTTTCCATCTCTTTCGCCTTTGTCACCCACCACTGTTCACGGTCCTTGCGGAGACTTTTCGTAAGTTTCCTTTTGTGCAGCTTTCGCTCCTCATTGAATTCGGAGCTCGCCGGAATAAGTCTTCTAGCATCTATCAGTTCGGATGAGGCGGTAGAGATCCAATGGTTTTTACTCACCTTTGGATTTACCTTATTCACAGCTTTTACAGCTGTATCTATGGCTAACTGAATATTCTTCCAAGCTTCTTCAGGGTGAGAACAGCTGTTGAACTCAGATATATGTTTAGCTAGTTCTTCCTCAAATAGGGATTTAGTTTCCTGATCGAGCTGGGGACGTGATGGGTTGGTTTACCGCCAGCTGTTTCCTACGTCCGTTCAGTTGTAAGCCCACACGAGCGCGGACCAGTGGTCTGATAGGTTGGCTTGAGGTATATGTCTTTTGATGAAATTCCGTGGATATCCATTCTTTTGGAAGACGTCCATGAGATATTTTTCTTCGATTTTCCTTAAGGTGGGTGTGCTGCAATGAGTCCTTGCCCTCTTGAATAGTGTTTGTATGCAATTCCTTTTGTGTGTTATTGGATTGTTGCTGTTGTAATTCAGGATTTGGTCTGTGTGAGTTGATTTTCTATAAACTTGAGTTTCTAATTCCCCTGTGGTTGGTTGTTCGCTTGACTAAGACGTCCAAAAATGGGATTTGGTTCTCGGATTCCTCCTCTCTTGTGAATTTGATGTCGTTGAAGATGTTGTTTATTAAGTTGTGAGTTTTATCTAACTCGTTTCTTTTGATTATTACAAATGTGTCGTTGACGTAGCGTATCCAAATCTTGGGTTTGATCTTTGGTAGAATTATGTTTTCGAGCCTTTGCATCACTGCTTCTGCAATCAAACCTGATATTGGCGATCCCATGGGTATTCCTTTGACTTGTTCATATATTTGGCCGTTGAATTGGAAGTATGTTGTTAGGCATAGGTTTATGCATTCCATCCAGCGTGTGTGTTGCATTTTCGATTGTTGTGGTAAGTGTTCGTCGTTGCGTAAAATATGCTCCATGGTTTCGTTTGTTAGCTAGTAAAAGAAACTATCTAACAAACGAAACCATGGAGCATATTTTACGCAACGACGAACACTTACCACAACAATCGAAAATGCAACACACACGCTGGATGGAATGCATAAACCTATGCCTAACAACATACTTCCAATTCAACGGCCAAATATATGAACAAGTCAAAGGAATACCCATGGGATCGCCAATATCAGGTTTGATTGCAGAAGCAGTGATGCAAAGGCTCGAAAACATAATTCTACCAAAGATCAAACCCAAGATTTGGATACGCTACGTCGACGACACATTTGTAATAATCAAAAGAAACGAGTTAGATAAAACTCACAACTTAATAAACAACATCTTCAACGACATCAAATTCACAAGAGAGGAGGAATCCGAGAACCAAATCCCATTTTTGGACGTCTTAGTCAAGCGAACAACCAACCACAGGGGAATTAGAAACTCAAGTTTATAGAAAATCAACTCACACAGACCAAATCCTGAATTACAACAGCAACAATCCAATAACACACAAAAGGAATTGCATACAAACACTATTCAAGAGGGCAAGGACTCATTGCAGCACACCCACCTTAAGGAAAATCGAAGAAAAATATCTCATGGACGTCTTCCAAAAGAATGGATATCCACGGAATTTCATCAAAAGACATATACCTCAAGCCAACCTATCAGACCACTGGTCCGCGCTCGTGTGGGCTTACAACTGAACGGACGTAGGAAACAGCTGGCGGTAAACCAACCCATCACGTCCCCAGCTCGATCAGGAAACTAAATCCCTATTTGAGGAAGAACTAGCTAAACATATATCTGAGTTCAACAGCTGTTCTCACCCTGAAGAAGCTTGGAAGAATATTCAGTTAGCCATAGATACAGCTGTAAAAGCTGTGAATAAGGTAAATCCAAAGGT